ATCTGAAACCTTAACACTGCTTTAGGTTTTGCAATGTGTACTCCTTTCTAGACATGCAAGCAGCATGATACTTAGATATCTACATTAAATGTGCATAAACATATCAGTAAAACAGGAAGGCTATACACTACAACGATGGCCTAATGGTAAAGGCACAAGAGTGGGAAGCCAGGGCTCCTGACCCTACATGCATCTGTGGGAATAAGAGGAGAGCAGTAGATGGGAACTTGGCTGCATTTGTAGGAACAAGCTCTTAGGAGCACTAAACATGGAAGTGGAGGAATGGATCAAAGGTTAGGAAAACATCGGTCCATATCTTCCAGTGAATCTTCCAAAGAGATGCCTGAAACCTCCCCTTGATCAGGGAGTTCCCATGTAATCTACAAATTTATAAAAGAAACACTGATCAGCCAAACTAGGGACAACAGCCCCACACGGATTTTCTGTGTAAGGATTTCAGCGGAATACACTCCACTGCAGCCAAGCATTCACCTTGCTCTGCCCCAGGCCTCTGGCACCACCGCTCTGCAGGTCAGCCAAAGTGGGTGTTTCTGTGTGTACAAGCAACTGCTCCCTGCGAAACCCTCACCAGCAGGCCTCACCTCCCTTTGTCACTGAACAGGCATGTGATCTGCGCAGTGTAAACATGTGCCCACAATTTTCTCTGGGCAGGGCTGTTTCTAATGCCAGATAATCCAACCACAATGAGGACGGGGGCATAAAAGCCTTAAAGGAAGCAACTGTGCACACACTCCATGTGTTGCATCCCAGAAACAGTGCACCTGGAACCATAAATACCATCCTATTTACATAACACTCAGTAGCAGAGGGACAAAGACTTAATACAGTGTATTTAATATTCCTATTACACTAGTGCCCAGAGGCCCCAATCAGCATCAGAGACCCATTGTGCTAGGCACTGTGCAAACACACAAAGAGACATAGTCCCTGCCCTGAAGAATTTACAGAAATCCTGGCTCAAGTCTGCCAAAGTGCAAGGTCAAAAGAGACATAAATTGGCTCAGCTCTGTCTGGTTCCCTGATGAACATTTGCTCAGAAGCACAGTGGGCAGCCCAAAGCCAATGAACGCTGGGTGTATCACAGTTACACACACCAACTGAACCCAAAACACACAACTACAGCCTCAGATCACCCCAGGAGACCTGTCTCCACTCTACACGTAGGGAAAGAATCCCATTCTTAGCTGTCAGACCTGTATCACTCACCAATGAGTAACACAACATACGACTCCACACCAGCCCAACAACAGAGCTCAGTTATTGCAGGGTTGCCCATAAGTATGTACTGCCTTAGTGGTAGGTTTTCAGGAGGGAGGGGGTATTAAAAGGGAAAATAGCACTGCAACATGTAGAGAATTTTGTCAAAAGCAACTTGGACACTGCAAGCAAAGCTTGGGCCAAGCTGGGCCAAATTAAATTTGACCTATCTCAACAGCGTCCAGTTAAAATTTCCAGTGTACTGGTTAGACAGCATACTCCAATATGTTGCTATCACCCCTCACCCTGAAGAGAGATGCACAGAGAGAGAATAAATCAGATTCTTAATGAACACTGGCCCTTACCTCTCAACGTTCATTTATTGCATTCACTTTGTTGCCTGTTTGGTGGCTCTCACGCAGTGGGATTTCTTAGGCTAGACTACTGGCTGTTTATACTTCACTACTAGCTATTTCTGCCTATTCTTTCATTTAAAAAAATGTATTTTTAGGTAGATTAATGATCGAAGAGCAATAAATACATCAAAGACAGAGTGGGTTTCTCCCAGGAGCCAGGAAGTATAGGAAAATGAGTGCATCACACACACATCCAATATTCAGGCTGGGGGAAGCCTGAGGGGACCTGCTACCCCGTGATCCCACTAGAGGAGGAGCGGTCCCTTTTGCTATATTCACAACTGCTGCTGCCCTTGTCTGGGACATTAATCCAAACAGCGGCACAGGTCCCATCCCATGACACCACCTGCAAAGAGCAGTGTTTATTTCCTAAATGAATGAAAGAGCAATACGAAGGTGCACATGTGTAATATAGACATGTCTATGCATGCTCATACATATAGCATGTAAGACTGAATAAGGAGCAGTTCAAATAACAGTCACAGAAAGATGTGTCTCCAAGATGCAAACAAACAACAGAAAGTATCCAGCTTGGGATATTCCCGATGTGTCCTGGCTAAACTCCAGTTCAGGTCATTACAGCCCGCCTGCTGATTTCCTCTGGTGGTTTTAACTGATGCAGCATTCTTGTCCTAAACTGTTGGAAAGCAATGTTGTGCAATCCTAAACAGCTGTCGTTTCCCACCCCAGAGGTGGTAGTATTTCAAGGGTGTACATGGGTCACTTCCCACATCTTATACCCAACCACAGAGATTTGGGAGGCAAATGAATGTCTGAGGATGGAAGGGGGGAGAAAATGTTAAAACATCACTTTTATGAAAATGCTCTCATTCCGAAGCAGGTAACATTTTGCTTGTAAATCACACTATAAGAAAGCTAATCAATAAATAAGCGGATTGGATTTTCCAAGCACTGTGAGCCAACAAAGAGAACATGCAGAATAACCCTGTGCCAGAGTCACTCCACAGAGCATGGAAACAGGTTTACGTAAATACATCCAGACAGGCAAGACTATGGAAGGGAATCTCCTGTTCCCCACAGTGCTCTGTTCCCATTGCAGGGCTGGCCACACAATGGCCAGCTGTGCAGAGCAGATGATTCAGCACAGACACTGGCATCCTTACTCTTCTGGGGGGAGGGGTGGGGAGGGAATGTGCCCATGAGATGTTCATTGTCCCTTGCAAAAAAAAAAAAAATCTGTGTACAACCTCTCAATCAGTGGCAATGGCCTGCCTGGTACAGGGACAAAATGGCCTGCTGGGAGGCTCCCCAGACGGAGCAGAGCCAAGTCTCACAGACAAGACTTGAACCCGTGACCTTCCCTGTGCATACAATCTGCAGGCAAGAGAGAGCGGCTTTATCCCCTCCCACCTGTTCATGCTCTCTGTATGTGTGTATATATATCGCCTCGATATGTTTCACTCAATATGCATCCGAAGAAGTGGGTTGTAGCCCACGAAAGCTTATGCTCTAATAAATTTGTTAGTCTCTAAGGTGCCACAAGTACTCCTGTTCTTTTTGCGGATACAGACTAACACGGCTGCTACTCTGAAACCTGAAATTTATCCCCTCTGCTTCACTCAGATAAAATCAGACCAATTACTGTGGGCTCCCAGCACAGCCAGTTTGTTCCTCACCACAGCCCAAACTGATGTCACCCAGAGACATTTGCCATTTCTCCTGTAATCAAGGAATGAAAATAACCCCCTCTTGGGGAGCCGGCACCAGATAAACCTTGCACGGGTTACATTCCAATCCCAACTCTTCCTCCGGCCAGGGACCATGCTCCCTTCGGGGCCCTGCCCCATTCCAGAAAAAGAGAGAAGACAACTGAAGTCAAATAGATTCACCCTCTCAGTCCAATTCTAGGCACCTACCACTCACAGCATTCTCCTGCCCCCATCCAGATGGAGACCATGCAGGGCAAGCTGATCCTGTGGCCCAGCAGGAGGGGGCAGGCTTAGTAACAACAGCACCAGGGCTCCAAGGATAGATAGTAGCACTTCTCTGAACAGCCAAGCAGTGATAGCAGAGGATCAAGAAACACGATCAAACCCGCCTTTAATTAAGGTGATCTGAAGTGCCTTGCCTAGGATTGTGACCCACAGATGCCACTGCCTCTGGCACCCATGAGAAACAGTGTTCGGAGAGGCAAGATTTCTTCCCACATTGACTGTTTGCATTTCAGTGAAGAGTCTGTTGGAGGATTTAATTCTCTGTGATTTGTGCTGAGAAAATCCCCCAGAAGGGCTCTGTCCTTTTCCCCTCTGCGAGCCCAACACTGGGGACGTAAAACTGCTGTGGGCTGCTGCCTGTCTCTTCCTCACACACCCCTACAACACACACACACGGGTCAGATGTTCTTCCTCCTCATCAGGCACAGGCCCAAGGGGAGAGAAGGTAATCAGTCATCAGAAAGCACAGTGATCGAACCCACATTGCAAATAAAGGAAATGAAGAAAGCCGCGGTGCCAGCACAATGCCCGGAGGCTAGGAAGGAGCCTGCCAGGAGGCAGTCTGGCACAGGACACCACAAACCTCCCCAAGGGACACTTCACTTGTTTCCCCAAGTTCTTAATTCCTGGCAGCGTGAGGATTGGGGTGAAGGACACGGGTGAGGAAGGGAACTCCGCTGAGGCCTGAGTGCTGGGATTTGAGATCACTCTCCCAACCAATCTGCCACTTGTGTCTGTGCTTTGCCCTCATCCCTTCCCTCTACCAGGTTCCCTTAAACCACCTGCTCCAGCACTCTCTCCGGCCCGCCTGAGCGACCACATGCCTAACACTTGGTGCTTAACATCCCATGCCCCATATCCAGCCAGGACACAGCACCCAGCCTCTATCTAAAGATCTGTCCTTGTGCCACCTCCCTGTTTGCCCTGGTCCTGCCCCCCACACCCTTCCCCACCTTAGCACTAACCTTGCCCCACATCACCCGCCTCTGTGACCCCTCAGACCCTAGCACCCCATTACACCCCCTGCCCAGCACACCCCTGTGATCCCGCAGGCCCTGCTGCCCCCAGCACAGTCACCAACACACTGAGCCCTGCAAGCAACAACAGGCACAAGGGGAGAGAGATCCTAAGCCCCCTCTGCCCCCCCCCACAGCTTCCAAGAGGACATATTCCGGGGGGGGAGGGAAGGCCTCCCCCCATCGTCTCACCGGTGGGTCACACTCCCGGGCCGCTCCCCTCCCCCGACTCACCGGGGGATCACACTCCCGGGCCGCCCCCCCCCGACTCACCGGGGGGGGGGGGGGAGGGAGGTCACACTCCCGGGCCGCCCCCCACCGACTCACGGGGGGGAGGGGGTCACACTCCGGGAGCCCCTCCCCCCGCCAGGCCCTGCGGCTGATCCCGGACTCACCCGGCTCCGGTCCCGTCCCGGGCGCTCCACTAAGTCTCCTCCATGGAGCCGCCGGGCTCCCAGCGCCGCCGGCTACGGGCCCGGGGCCGCCGCCATCCCGCCGCGCCGCGCTCAGTGCAGGCCGCTCCGCGCCTCCGGCCGGGGGCTCTCAGCGGCCGCCGGGCTCGGCTCAGCGCGCACGGGGCGGGGGACCCGGAGCGCGGAGTCCGGATCCGGAGCCGCCGTGACTCACTGAGCCGGGCGGAGAGAAAACCCGGCGCGCGGAGCCGCCGCCGCCACCACCAGGCAGGGAAAACCCGGAGCCGGGATGCCCCGTGCACACAGACCGCCGGAGGCGCGGGTCCAGCCCTAGGGCCCAGCCGGGGAGCACGGAGACAGAACTAGGACGAGCAGACCCAGAGGGGCAAACCCAGAACACTGACCCAGACCGGGATCCACCCCAGAGATCGGGATCCCGCAGGGCAGGGAAACCCAGAGCACATGAAGCCAGACCCTCAGAGACAGGCAGAGGGACAAACCCTCTGACAAGCATGAACCTCAGCAGGAAGGGCATCAGAGCGTCCACACAGACATAGGGGACACCACTGCTGAGCTGGAAAGGGAAATCCAGACCAGGCGCATAGCCACCGGTGGGCTGGCCCATGCACTTAGCATCCAGGCCCACCCAAATCTGAGGAGGGAGTAGTGCTGCCACAGCAGTCTGGAGTGTCACTTGGACACTCAAATCCAGGTGGGAGTTATGCACCCGCCCTTCAGAAAGCTACGCTCTGGCAGCTCTGCCTTGCCATTTTCTGAGCCACCCTATGCGCATGCCCGACTTGGCAGGTGAAGCCCTATGTCTGGGGGCACCAGGGCCAGGAAGAGGGTGTGGCGTCAGGTGAGCTAGCACAGTCTGGCATTGCCTGTCCACCTGAAAATCGTGGCCCACCCAAATTTCCACTCCTAGCTACACCACTGATTCAGACCAAGCCAAAAAAAACTATAGCAGGATGGGAAGCCTGGTCTGGTGGGAAAGGCAAGCCAAGAGACCCGTATTCAAGTCCCAATTTAGCCTCACAGTTCTTGTGTGATCTGGAGCAAGTTACTTAGGGCAGGTCTACACTAGCTTTTACTTCCATATAACTTAAGTCAATTAGGAGTGTGGAAAAGCCACCACCTTGAGTTACATAAATTACACTGCCGTAAGCGCCTGTGTGGACAGTGCTATAATGGCGGGAGAGTGTCAGAGCTACTCAGGGAGGTGGAGTAATCATGTTGACAGGAGAGCTCTCTCCTGTTGACATACAGTGTCTGCATTAGCACCGCTACAGCAGCACAGCTACATCGGCACAGCAGCACCGCTGTAACGATTCTAGTATACACTAGATGCCCATAACACTGGTTTACAATTTTTGAGAAGTCGTCTGCTTCAGAGATAAAATG